TCTTTCAGAGCTGATGATTGTGCCTGAGAGCTCTCGTAAAATGCCTCCTTAATTCCTCTCTTTTATCCCACCAAGGCCTACGTTCCGTCTCTTTTTCCTCTTTTTCATTCTCTCATGTTTTATGGTCCTTGTCTTGAAGAGAGGGGACTTGTTAGGGATCTTTGGAGATTTACAGTCAAGTTTTTTTTTCTATCAGAGAACACAGTAACAATCTTCAGGCCGATATGAAAGGATGTTTCATCAAAGTACTCTTCCAGGAAAAAAAAAAAAGACAGCTGTCTCAAAAGTTTAACTTTCTTAAGATTAAGTTTTGAGAAAAAACTTCTCCTATCTGTTTAATAAAAAGTCTGTCAGGCATTTCTTATTATGTTATTTACTTTGGAAAACTTTTAAAAGCCTATCCCCTAAATTGCTCAGGCACAGATACTCTGAATGCATCAAAGCTTTCATGGTTGCATACTGGGGAGGTGGAATACTTGGCATTACACACACACACACACACACACACACGTATATGTGCACTTACAAGCATACACACACAAACACACTCACACAACCACAAACAGGCAGCAAATTGATTCAGACAGCTGAATATTTGACATCTGAGGACCCAAACAGTTTCATATTCAGCTGCTTGGGGGCCTAAAAATGAGCAGTTGGCTCTTAGCTGTTCACCCATAACACTAATCTTAATGTTTAAACAGATCCAATCAATCTACAGATGGCACAGTGTAGGCAGAGACATCCACCACAGGTACAGAAGGAACTCTGGTAATTTTGCAAAAACATCAACATGTTATCTCTCAAAAATTAAAAAGCTGCAGATTTTGTACTGTTAATACTGTATATACTTATAGAGATACAGTATTGTACTGACAAACCAATACATACAGTTTGTATTTTCAATGAAACAACAAAAGCCAAGGACAATCTACTGTAAATCAACCTGTAAATATGGAGCCAAAATGTGTCTATCTGGCAACATCTAAAGCACAAAGGAAATATTTTGTTTAAACAATGTCATACACCGTATAACTGCAATCCATATGAACTGTCACTGCCAAATACTGTAGTCACTGCAGTAGTATACAAACAAAGAGATGACGATGGACACAATCTGCATGAAAGCTTTTAGTGTAAATTAACTGAATTAACTAGTGGTAATAAGGTATGGAAGACACATTAATTTGAACTCTTAAAGCCCATGCTAAAAATCTAATTTCTGGGTAACACAAAGAACAAACATCATGGTCATTTGAAAGCATTTCTAGGTGGAAAAAAGATTTTTAGATCTAGTGACAGGAAAAACAACATAGAAGCCCATAAGGTAAACAAGGGGAAGAGCTGCCAGTACAAGTACAAGCCTGACCAGTCTTGAAATCCTTTCCTAATGTCAGAAATTGAATCATGACTGAATAAAAATTCAGTCAATTCAGAAATAAACCCAAGGCTCTTGAAATATGACCTTGAAGAACGAACTAGCACGCTATCACTAAGCAAGGCATGTCACTGTTTTATCCTACAGAGAACCCAGTACCCAGTACCAATACCCCCCAATATCTGCTGCATTAGTCACATTTTGGACAAAGTTATATTATGTTATGTATTCAGGTCAACCAAATATGCGCTTATGATATTAAAAAGGACAGGTAACCACAATCCTGTCAGACTCCAGAAGGCAGGGGTGGACAGATAATTAAAGAGTAGAAAGGTACTGGAGGCTGAAAATGAAAATACAGATGTGGGTGTTGGAAAAGAAATGCAATGGAAAAAGGTTAACAAATTACAGTAACCATGTTGAATAAATCATTTTCATGTCATTCCTTAGTCCACTAAATATGAATGCCAATTTAGCCTGGAAAGTAATTATACATAGGTTCTTTCTAGCATGGGAATATGAATAAATTGTAATTATCCCTCACTGCAAAATTTCTCTCCATCCACCAAATCAAGCTATTATCAGTTCTTGAATTACATAAAACCAAAAGAGCAATTTGTACAGAGATATTAGCCTCTTTTGAATCATATAAAAGAGAATCCCTCTTGCCCAGTGCTCATCTCTTTTTCTTGCTGTCAAAGCACAGCTTAAGTCCCTCAGTGGTGAGTGATGGAAAGGACAAAATTGGCTACTTTTGGGACAATGAGTTATTTGAAATTCAAACAACTCTTCACAGCCATTGCGGCACCTTTGAGAGGACAGGAGACAAGAGGAGTCTCTTTCATCCCACTAAATGTCTGAGAGGTGAGCCTCATCCTGACATTAAACAACAACAGCCGTGAAACCGGCTCCACTCAGACAACTGTAATGGAGTCAGCTGCCGCGTTTGTCTCTGAAAAAAGCAATGTATTAATGCTAATTCACTGTTGCTGACTTTTATAGAGGATGTAAGTGACACTCTTTGTGATAGGACACATGCATATGCAGGCATGTGCGCAGAGCATCTGTTGGCAAATCAGCTGTTTTTTGGTTTGTTTTTGGATATTTGCCCACATATACAGAACTCTGGAATATTCTATTTTCGATTAGTGGAAGATGAATATTTTCTATTTTCAGCCATATTCTTTATTACTGGAACATCAATAGAAAACTCAAAAAGAGCTGATATCTAGAGAGTAGATATCTAGCTCTCTGTACTGACTTTTAAATAGAACTTATAAAAGAAAAATGTTGACATTTGAATAAGTGGCAGTAAGAACATATATTGTTTTAACTAATACTTATGCAGAGTCAACAAGAAACCTTAAAGAAGGCAGGATGTTGAACTTATAAAAGCTCATTTCTGGCATGTTGGCATAAAGAACCAAACCAGATATTTTTCAGCTAATTATAACATGGCTAGGTACGCAAAAAGTTGACACACTGGAGCTGTATTTTGTGCCTGCCCTAATCTCCATCTTCTTCTTCCCAAAAGGCAGAAAGGAAAATTAATCTGAAACCTACTGTGCTCAAAGGCATTTGCAGCTGAGACATCTTTCCTTTCTCACACTGCCAGTAGCACTTTGGAAACACTCACCATCTCAGTGCTCCCATCAGCATGTGCATCTGAATTTGTCACGTTCAGCAAGACAACTCCCAAACTGCACACACACATACACACACGCACACACAGTCAACCCAAAACAACAACACAGTTCTGGGCCCTCAATAGTATCCTTTTGCTTTTTTTGATAATAGGAGAGTCCTTGGCTGCTTTTTCATTTCCAGTCTCACAGCTGTGCACTGGACATGCCATGAAATAGACCCCCAAGCCCTACCCCTGGTAAGATATGAAATAACCTGCAGAGAACACCGGCTGCTCAATTTGATGTTCAGTGTAGTTTTTTTTTTTTTTTACTGCTGCTCTTTCTGAAACACAGTAGGTAAGTGACAGTGTAGATGGAAACTGAAGTGCTTTGCACATGCATGCATTCACTAACAGTACTGTATGCAAAAATACAAGCAGACACAAACACACACACACACACACATACAGTGTGTGGACACAAAAATGGACAAGGCAGCCCGGGGGAAGAAGGATAACGGAACAAGCCCATGTAAATCCCATATGTGCTTAATCCAGACACTTACAAGAGAGCGTGATTCATACTCTATTACACTCAAATAATAGAGCTGAGAGACACACAGGGCACAATCATCTCAGCAGAGATGAACCAACAAAATACCACCCATGAATCCTCTTTATGGCGACTTTACTGAAGAGGCTGTGAAAGGTCAGGAATAAACCCCTTGTAATTATTAGACATTAAAACATGTGCCCCACCCACAGAGAGTGTGTGTGTGTGTATTACCGTGAGTGTGTACAAAGATAACAAGCGCCTGCATCCGTTTAATGGAAGGAATTTCTCTGCAGGTCTCCAGTATATAAACTGTTCATTACACAGAGCTTTCCTGCAGATCACATTAGTCTCAGGCTGTTTTCTCTCAGGAGTTGGGGTGTGAGGTTGATGAAGTTGTTCAAGGCCTACATTACTGCACAAAACTTTCTGTCGGAGGTTGACATACTATAATGCAAACAACACATTTGCCTAGTTTGAGTAGACAGACTTTAACAAGTGAACTTATTTTTTATTTGCTCCCTTTCTATAAAATTCTGGCAAATTCTTTTCCAGTGGACACAATTACAGTACTCACTAGGAACATTTCTACTCCTTAGTTCTACATATTTTCATGGGTTGTAGTAGGTACTGTAGTCCTGTCAGGGTCCACTATAAATATGGGAAAATAAAGGCACCACTTCCTTTTCATGGGAAACTGCTCAAAGGTTTGCACTTGATATGTCAGAACATATAAATCTGTGACAGCAATCACCAGAGAAAAAAACTAGCTGTCTACTGTACAATAGGCTGTTTCTTGTTCTCCTGCTCATCTTAAAATCCAGCCAAATTACAACCAAATGTATCAATTTCTACTTTCTGTCTCAATATACACAATAAACCAGTAACTAACAAGCAGAAACAATAAAATCCAAATTGTTCATAGCACAGCTTATCTTGTTTTGTCAAACAAGATACCATCAAGTAGTTTACTTAGCAGAGGGGCTTATGTGCATGTGTGTATCGTCGTGTCTGTCCGTCTGTCTGTCTGTCTGTCTGTGAATGGTGTGTGGGTATGTAGGTAAGGCTGAAGGATAAAGTAAAAATAATAATTGCCACATTCTATCCATCCCCAGAGGAGAGGTTTTAAAGACTTTATAAAAACAAGCTCAGACATGTCTTTCCATTTCTCTGTACTGTGAATGCACTCACTGTGAAAACAGAGCATCGACAGGAAAACAGACACATGAAATGTGGCACAGATACTATGACACAACAAAGACAGCAGCTTATTCAAGTAACAAATGCACAGGTATACAGAGGGGTTCATTCCGGTTCCTCTCCAACTTAAAAAAAGAAAAACCAGTTTTTGTGGATTTTCTCAACCACCACAAACAACGCAGGGAGTACTTTTGTAAGACCGCATCTGTTGTGTGCCTGCTGCAGTCTGTCAATCTCCAACTCACCTTTCTTGTCCCCGAAAAAGAGGGTCTGCTGTGCTGGGTTTGACCACTGGAGGGAGGTGTTGTCATTAAATTCCACACGGCAGGTGAGGTTTGCCGTCCTGCCCTCTGTCACCGTCACATTCTGAACCAGAGGGTACTGACCACTGATGCCTGCAACAGGACAAATAAGAGAAACGCATAAGAGGAGATGAAGATGTATGCGGGATGGCCATTCATTACTGTGGGACCCTAACATAAAACATGCATGGGGCATTTAACCCTCAGTAAGAACCCTGAACCCTCAGCTATACAGGGAAGCCCTGTTAAAAACCACTGTCTGTGGACTCCCGTGGATGTTGGTGTGTGTAATGCTTGCATCCAATTAGAGAAAAATAAAACCAAACAGCTTTAAATACGCTAACTCTACGTGACCTCTAAACCGAGTAGTGCTTGTTTTCAGCACCATGGACAGGTTGCTTTTGCGACTGGTGTCTCAGTAGATGTCTGCCAGTTTTCAGGACCTTGGAGAGCTCACTGCTGCGTGTCTGTGTGACTCACTCACATGCTGAGGGAGCGAGTAAGCAAGCAAATAATAATAACCATAAATCTGTCCCTCTCCCCATCCCCAGAGGGCAGTTTTTAAAGACTGTGTGAATAAAGGAGTAGGTAAGAAAGATTATTCATCCCCAGCTAACTCTCTTAAGCCACCATCCCTCCAAGAAAGGATCATAAAACTGAGAAAAAGAAAAACCTATTAAGAACAGGAAGAAATAAGAAATATTTATACATCACGATATCACTTCCATGCGACTGTGTTTGATACTTTTGTCTTAAAACATTAAAACACAGGAAATATCACCAGCCAATTTTGTGTTTTGCTTACTTCGGTTAACGATAACACAGAAAAGATAAACAAATCCTCAAAGAGCATGTGCCTACTGTAAAGCCCCATCACAAAGAAACCTGTGGTGAAGGACATGTGGAAAGGAGAGAAGATGAGGGAAGGAGAAGTAAGTCAAGGAGCACGGGTCATTTCCCAGTGTTGATTAAGGCCTCCTGAGGTTAATCATGCGTGTGAGAGATAGAGAGGGAAGAGGAGGGAATTGGACAAAAAATGGATCTGAGCTACGGGAGGCAAGGAATATGTTTTATTCATGAAAGTTTTGCATGAGGCATGATCTGCCAGCGATTTACCGTTCTCCTGCACCCGCCCTCACTCTCTTTATTACTTTCTCTCTTTAAATCACTTACTTTTTCTCATTTTTCTCACTTATGCAGTTGGGCAACATATAACCCAGTGTGATGCATTTTATTTCTTTTGTGCTGGCCACAAAGAGAAGTTAATGGTTTACCACCTTACCGAATGGTAGCAGTGATGATTTTGTGAGTGAGGCTCTGCACAATATGATGTGGTGTATAATTTTAGTTCATTACTACAGTAGGTGTCACTGCAAAATGTCACTGAAAATGGAGACACTCCAGAAATGTGTTCTCATGGTTTACCGTCATCTCTTCTCTGATCCCTGAAAAATAAAATCTGCTAGTTTGTTCTTCAAATGATCCGCTGACAAAATATGAGATTTGAGGGATTAAATTTTTATGGCATGGTGCTGTGCATGCCTTTAGAAAATTAGGAAATTGGTGCTTTTAAAATATTTTATCTATCTAAATGTTCACTAAAGAAACAAAAACACATCAGATTAAAATAGCATTGAATTGTACTGAGGGAGCAAAATATTGCTTGTGGAAAGCTATACACTATATTCCATACATACTTCCAATACCAATATTTGTTACATTTCTGCACAGAGTAAAAAAACAAACAATGAATTCTTCAGAAATTATCTATGACTCTGCTGTAAAGATTTTCTCACTTAATATTCAGGTGTCACACATTATACCTGCATCATAGGTGTACATAAATATACTCATCAATACAGCAGCAAAAATTGTTAAATGTCAAAGTTTCCTTGTGCCTCTTTCTCCTTTTCATCCTCTCCTCTCCTGTGGCACTACACCAGTGCCTACAAAAAGTTACAATAGTCCGGGGATCCCTCTGCCTAAGCCCTGCATCAGTGTCTAGTGCTACACGTCCAGTGGGACTGAAAGGGCCACAGGGGCCACACTGATGGTTATATTAAAACAGTACAGTGCTCTGTGTGCCTAATTGGCCAGTGGAGTACGTTCCTCCATTCTCCCCTCTGGCCACCCAGACCTGATTTAAATGTATCTCTTGAGGGAAGGAGGCAGCAGTTGTCTCCTGATTTCCATGTCTAAATTTAGGTCCTTCCCTCACTTCAACTCCACTCTTTCTCCTACTTTTGGTTTTTTTGCTCTATCTTTTCCAGTTCACGTGCATTCTGCTCAGTTCCCGTCTCTCTGCTCCTCTCTCTCTCTCTCTCTGTCTCTCTGTCGCACTTCCTCCTCTAGTTGATCCCTGAAGGTTGGCATTTCCACTTTCTTTGTCTTGCATTTTTATATTCTGACTGTCTTCTCCCCAGTCTTTCAAATTTATCTTGATCATAGCACCTTTCATGTGCTCAATAGTGCTGTATCTCTCATGGAGAAAGGGGTCAGTTTAATTGCCCTCCACTTTGACTGACATGCCAAGGCTAAGCCAGGTCAACAATGTCCTCATCTGTATGACATTATGAAGTAATAACATAATGAAATTTGCCTTGCTTTACTTAATTGGATCATATATAAACAAACAGCATATATCATAGAACAAGGCTCGATTCGGTTGGGGTGGTGGCCACTGTAACATCGGGTTGCCTCATAACAAACAGCAAATCATTATTGCTTCTAGAGGCATTAAACCAGAGCTGATTCCCATTACCCATCACACAGCTGTCTCCCTAGATGAGCTGAATCTCAAGTTTTAGTGGGTCCACTCATTACCTTCACTCCGCCAGGGTAAGCACCGGCTAATAATCAATGCTGGCTGCAAAGCTTTCCCACAATGTTTTGGACTTACACTTCCCACCATCCAACATACTGCATCCAGTATATCTCACAAGACCAAACTACTCCTTATCCCAAAAGTATATGCTTTTGCAGCCAATAAATATATTCACGGGATACAAAGGCACATTCAGACACACAGTACCTGTTGCCAAAGCAAACTACTGGACAAATATTACTGATAAGAGTATCCTGGATGCTTTCTGTCTGCTTTCTGGCATGACCTTTCAGGCAAGAGCGGCTGAATCTACCAACCTTTCTTATTTAGGCATTCAAGGAGCAGAGAAAAAGAGAGAGATGCAGGCAGACAGACTGACAGCCTGGAGCTATTGACCTTTCTACCACATCTGCAGCTCGGCTAAGGTGTAGAGCTATGATGTATGGCTGGGAATACACGATTACAAAATGGATAGAGGCAGTTGATTAGCAAAGGCATCTTTTAAACCAGTTAAACATAGCGGATAAAGGCAGGCATGGGATCAGATTAATGCAAATTTCCATGATAAATTCCACGTTATTACAGCTTGGGCCTCATTTCTATAGTGTTAGCCATAATTTCAAGATTTTAAATGAAAATACTGATCAAAGTAATTTCTGACATCTGGTAGCCAGAGGTGGGAAGTAAAATACAAATACTTTGTTTCTGTATTCTTTTTTATTTATTTATTTTTCAGGTATCTGTACTTGAGTATTTATTTTTGACAACTTTTTACTTTTATTCCCTACATTTTAACACAAATATATATACTTTCTACTCCTTACATTTTCAGATCAAACTTACTCATTTCAGTTTTAATACATTTGAGGGGAATTTTTATTCGATTATTTTTATTTAGCATTTGCTGAAAAATGTGCACACCACTGAACTGGGTGACATGTTTCTTCAGTGCAATATCTCTGCTTTGTTTACAGTTTGCTAGCTCCTTGTGCTTTCACTGAGATCTTGTACATGCAGAGATGAACCTTGATTATTTCAGATGCTGTAAAACGTTTTGGTCATTTTAAATTTTTGGGGCAACATTTTTAACATATGGTCTTGTGCTTTGTAATGAAGAAACATAATCCAGTAGAGCAGGTGTGTTTCACTGGTGTATTTTTAATTGTTTTTGAACAACAATGAATAAACGAATATGCTAATCCAAGTTGGAGACTGACACACATGATTCGTAGGTAGAGACAGTTTATTGTTGGTTTTAGAAAATACTATAGAATATAATAATTATCATTTTAGGCCTAATTATACCTGAAATGTAATCTTGTTAGTTAATGTTAAATGTTTTTACTTTTTATTTGAAGTTAGAATGGTTTAATAGTTGTGGAAATACATTATTATGTCATGACCCGAGATTTGCACAGAAACAGTTGCCTTTCCAGTACTATGGTTTACTTTTATACTTTGAGTACTCTTCAGAGCCTGTACTCTTTTTGGTTTTACTTGAGTAAAGAGTTTGAATGAGTGCTTCTACTTTTATGAGTCTTTTTTTACCCAGTTATCTGTACTTCTACTTGAGTAACAAATGTGTGTACTTTTGCTATAGCACAGTGATTTTGCAACAACAATGAAATAATGAAGAACCCATCTTAGTTGGTATTCTATTACTAGAACTTTTTAGATACAGTGGGAATCCTAATGGGAATATACGATGTTAGGATTGATGGCAAAAACAACAAAAGTGAAAACCAACTTTTAAGACCGTCATGGTCTCAGTCTCTGCCCCTTGTTTACACTGCAGTGTTAGACCCAGCCCCTATTTTTGGTCCAGTTTTCCCTCTCTTACCACTGTCCCCACTAAGCTCCGTCCCGCTATATTCACACTCACTTACCTTCCATCAGTGTAATCAACCACTCTGTATTAATGTCAGCTAAGTCAGCAGTGGATACATAAACTTCTCACACTGAGTCTCACAGTGTCAGGCAGCAGGGTGGCTTAGTGATTGGAGAGATGGCACAAGGTCAAGAGTTTGACCATTCCAGGAGCTGCTGTGAATTGATCAGGTGTGATTAGGTGTATCCTGCCACGGCATCTTTTGAGCAAGAAAACATTTCCCCAACCTCCTCACAGGTTTAGAGCATCAGAAAAATGTTGAAATCACAAATATACTCGAAGTTCCAGGCAGTATTTTGTTTTTCTGGGAAAGAGCCAATTTTAGCTGATAATATGGAACACAAAATGTTGTTAGTAACTTCCTGGAACAGAAGCTAACAT